TACATAAATTATATAATACAACAATTATGTAATATTTTTATAAGTCCGTTGTAATATCATTTGATGAAGTGTTGTAGTATAAATAGTTCCATTGATTTAAAAATTCCAACACGACACCATTTGTCCAACCGAATCCTAACTGTGGCGCGTATTCGCCACCACCACCACTTATTCCTAAAGCTAAAGCGTCATACTGTAAAATCATTATTAAACTATTACATTTGAAAAAATGTCTTAAATATTTCAAAGGTAAAATGGTTTCATACTTTTTCGAACATCGATTCGTTATTTGTAAATCCACGATAATTTGTGCGCAACCACACCTCAGCCAATTTCCCTGCAACTTGTTTTGCAATTTTTTGTTGAGTCTTATCCAGACCTTGAATGATAAAAGCTTGGAGCGGAGGCCAAGCATTCGGGAAATCCCATTGTTGTGACGATGAATACATTGACGTAGGCATTCCTATTGGGAAAAAATGGTTAAATGAGCTTACATAAATTGTATTGAGAAATACACTCTAAAAATTTGTCCAAAATAAAATCTTCAAAGTATAACAGCTATAATGACTTAAATTTTGCCATATTGACCCTAATTTTTTTATTTATATACGCCATGTACGATGTACCTACATATTTCATATACTTACATCAAGAGCAATTTTTTTTTTATTAATAATTTTTAAAATAATAATATTTGTTTGATTAAAATGGTAACCGGTAASAGTACCTACCATTGTATTTAATACTGTAATCGAGCTCGATTATACGTTCATCTCTCAAATATTTCAGAACTGAATGGGCCACTTTTTCTTTTGGCATTTTATAGCTTTCCGTCCACAGAGGTACAATATTGGATGCATAAAAATATTCTCGGCTCTTATTGTTGATCAAATCCCAATCAAACCAAGATCCTTTGTTTGGTTTCCACATAACCTAAAACCAAATATTTGATACAAAGAATATTGTATTCTTAAATTTATCAAATTTTTCTTGCATATTATATAGGCATTGATTATAAATAAGTATTATTTTATTATCAATAGTATAAGGTATTGATGTTTACAATGTTTACATTAAGGTACATATAAATATCATAAGCAAGGTTAGGGACTTATAGCACTTAAAATCATTAAAATAAGCGCTTAAAAAAGCTCTTATAAAAACATCATTATAAGCACTCAAATAARCATTTAAAAACTTAAATTTTTGCAAAAATATTTATCAAAAAACAAAAAACTAAAAAATTCTAACTTAAAAATCAAACAAAATAGAAATTTATCTTTATCTTTATATTATAAAATAAATTAAACTTCACTTTCGAGACTTTAAGGATTTAATGGATTTTCCGAGGATTTTCTGAAAATGAAATGTAAACGATATTTATAATAGTTGAAAACATTATAAAAACATAGAAATACTGGTCAAATAAGCAAAAATAATCTGATAGTACTGATAAAATCAAAAGGTTTCAGACTCTGCTACCTGTGTTCAGTGGCGGTTTGTTGAATTTTTTCTGAGGGGAGGGGGGTCCTTTAATATTATCTCATAATATATAAGACCAAAAAGGTTAACCCTTTAATTGTTACATAAAAAAAAAATATAGCATTTAAGATATATTAGATATAAGCGTACCTATTATCCGTATATAAAAATCGTAATAGCTATAAAAAAAAAAAATTACTGTCAAACCCCAAGCGCCCTGAGCGAATAATGAATCACAGCCTTAACTCGGAATCTGGGGGGGTTCCAGGGGTTTGGACCCCCCCCCCCCGTAAAACCACCACCGCCTGGGTTATTTTTGTTTAACTTTTTGTAACAGATATTAAGATATAAGAATATAATATACCCTTACTTCATGTATATTTTCGAGAAATTCATTAGCAATTGTTTTGTATTTTTCAGCATTTATTTCATCTCCCATTTGATCAAACCAAGTACTCAACGTAAGTGCATTTACATGAAGTAAGCTATTTAAGTCAACTGGGACAATGTTTGCCGTTTGTATATCAGATAAATTACCTGTATTAAAACACTAAGATCATAAATTATATTTCATTTTATAGTTCTAAATTGATGTTTACCGCTATTAGTGCCATTAGCTGTTATGAACCATCTACTTGAAAAGTCCCAACCAGATTCTGCTGCAGACTTGATGTGTATATATAATTCATTTTTATCTTCTTCTCTGTGGTGTTTTTCWGCTAGTTTATAATCGTTCCTTGGCGTATACATACACATTATTGTTGATAAATTTTAAAATTACAATAACTTGATACCTAGTTGATACTATATGTTATTTATTTATATTCTACAAACCTGTATGATTCTGGTCTTGGCCCACTTGACCGTGAGCTGTATCTAGCCATTTTAAATTTTCTACCATCCTTCTCGAAGGTGACCATTCGATTTTTTAACCAAAAAAGATATTCATTTTCCAAACTCTAAAATACATAATAATAAATTATAATATAGGTTTATTCACATTATTATTTTTATTGAACTTACACCTATAACAGTTTTTATGAAATTAAAGTCATTAGTTGCTTTATAATAACTTAATACCATCAATATAAGCATCGGTGGTTGTGATCTATTTAGATAGAAAACTCTGTTACCGTTGGGCATGAAACCAAACTGATCCACCAATGATATTATATTTTCAATAATACCACGGGC